CTCCAAACTGCTTCCGATAGTTCCCCACCACTGAGATTAGAAGGGCCAGCCTGTAGTTTCCTGGTTTATCCCCTTCTCCCTTGCTGAAATACAGTATCCACGACGTGAAGTTGCCGGTGTTAGACTGGGGTGGACAAAGTCAGAAGTGACATGACACCAGGTTATAGTCCAACAGGTTTATTTGAAATCACAAGCTTTCCGAGCACCACTCTTTCATCAGGTTCCAAAAGCTTGTGATTTCAAATAAACCTGTTGGACCATAACCTGATGTCGTGTGAACGGCACAACATTGATTGTCCTCTACCACCTCTCCTGTGGTCAGAGAGGAATCAATTTCTTTTTTTAAAAAAACACGCTCCCTTGTTATTTCCTCCCTTGTGTCACTTAACAACCTGGGATACATTTCATCCAGCCCTGGAGATTTGTCTGATTTTAAACCTGACAGAACAAAGAACAATACAGCACAGGAACAGGCCCTTCAGCCCTCCAAGCCTGCGACAACACATTTTGCCCTTCCATACGACAAATGTCTTCACTTACAGGATCCGTGTCCCTTACTCCCTGCCTATGTATTCGTTCAGGTGCTTCCTGAATGCTGCCAATGTGTCTGCTTCCACCATCTCCTGACAAAGCATTCCAGGTACTCACCACACTGTACAAAACTTGTGCCTCACACATCTCTTTTAAACCTTCTCTTCTGCATCTTGAACCGGTATCCCCTAGTAATTGACCCCTCATACCTTCTACTCCATCTACACCTTTCACAATCTTATAAACATTTATCAGGTCGTCCCTCAACTCCTGCAATCAGTGAAAACAAACCTAGTTCAGCCAACCTTTTTCATAGCTAAAATCCCCCATACTAGGCAACATCCTGGTAAACCTTTTCTGTACCCTCTCCAAAGCATCCACATCCTTTGGTAGTGTTGTGACCAAAACTGTATGCGGTATGCAATATTCCAAGTATGCCTAACTGAAGTTCTACAGAGCTGCAGCATAACCTGCCTATCCTTGTAGTCAATGCCCCTTCCAATGAAGGCAAGCATGACACAGGCCTTCCTTGCTACCTTAACTACCTGCACTGCCACCTTCAGTGATCTGTGGACCTGCACACCTAGATACCTCTGCATATCAATACTCCTAAAGGTTCTGCCATTCACTAAAATTTCCACCTGTACTTGACCTTCCAAAATGCATTACCTCAAATTTGGTTTCCTTTAAATGGAAACAGGTCCTTCAACCCAAACTGGTCCATGCTGACCATGGTGCCCACTCAGTTAGTTACAATTGCCTGCATTTGGTCCATATCCCTCTAAACCCGTTCGATCATGTACTCATCCAAATGTTTCTTAAATGTTGCTATTGTACCTGCGTCAACCACATTCTCTAGCAGATCATTCCATATACACACACCACTCTCTGCGTACCATTTTGTATCATCGCCAAATGTACTAATCATGCCTTGTACATTCACATCCAGATCATTTATGTAAATAACAAACACCAAAGGTCCCAGCACCGACCCCTGTGGCACACCACTAGTCACAATCCTCCATTCCGAACAGCATCCTTCCAACCCTTATCTCTGTCTCCTAAGACTAAGCCAGTTCTGTATCTATCTCACCCCTGATATCATGTGACTTCACCTTTTGTAACAGTGTGCCACAAGGGACTTTGGCAAAAGCTTTATTGAAGTCCCTGTAGACAACATCAACCGCTTTTCCCTCATCATCTTTGCCACCTCTTCAAAAAACTCGATCAAGTTACTGAGGCACGATTTGCCCTACACAAAACCATGCTGTCTATCATTAATAAATCCATTTGTTTCTAAATGTGTATAGATCTAGTCACAGAATCTTTTCCAATAATTTCCCAACCACTGACACGGGGCTCACAGGCCTGTAATTTCCTGGATTATTCCTGCTATCCTTCTTAAACATTGGAACTACATTGGCTCATCTTTAACCCCATGGGACCTCACTTGTGGCCAAAGAGGAGACAAGGTGTCTGTCAATGCTTCAGCAATTTGGTCTCCTGCGTCCCTTAATATTCTGGATCTATATGTGGAGCCAGAAGAGGTAGGTGATATCCTAAACAAATATTTTGTGTCAGTATTCACCAAAGAGAAGAAGTTGGTGGAGGATGATCTCAAGGAAGGGAGTGTCAAATTTCTAAGCCAAGTTGCAATTAAAAAGGAAGAGGGGTTAAATG